CCCCAAAACCCCAAAACCCCAAAACCCCAAAACCCCGAAAAAGAAATATACGTTGAACTATTGAAGTCCACACCAGTTTAGAAATGATCTCCTACATAATTCTGGTAGATTGGGTCTTCCTTGACAAATGCGTTCGCTTTGTTAAGTATTATTCTGACATCTATATCATTTGGGAATCTCTGGAGAGCCTGCATTGCGTCTGTGAAATCTCCTTCCATGATGTCTTCTTTTATATACTGAAGCATTGCAAGTCAAACATAGTTTAAGAATTCGTACCTCTCAGGGTCAGACAGCAATGTATCCCATATTCTTGCAGTTTCATAAATAGGAAAATCTTGTCAAAGAAGTAGCATGATCCACTTTAGAGCATAGAACTGTGGGTTAATCTTATAATACTCCAGGTGGTTAAACAACTCTCTGTCATGCTCTTTTAATAAGTCTGCTAGATATTGAATTCTTCCTTTAATTCCTTGGTCTTCTGAATCAAGAGTTCTGCAGAATCTATCCCTAATCTCCCCCATTATGCTTTGAAATCAGAAAAACAGGTCACTTTCCAAGGTTTCTGTCAAAATTGGGTCATCTGTATCGAAGAAAACGAAATAAAGAACTGCAAGAATTTCGTTCATGCCTTGAACATACTTAATACCAGGGTTAAGCTTTGCATGGATGAACAATATTCTACTCAGCACATCAGCATGTGTTTCGATATAATTTTCCTTATCCTCAGCATTAAGCTCTGATTTCTTCAGCTCGGCTTGTCTCATAAGTCTTTCCCAATGCTTGGCAGAGTCCTCATCCTTAATAGCTCTGACAAAAAGTGCAATTTCATTCCTTGTTCTTTTGACATCTTTCTCAATTTCTTCCCAAATTTCCCTGTCTTTGTGGAATTGTGCCCAGACGCTATCCTGGGAAACACTCAAGGGATGGTCAACGACATGTTCAGTGACTTCAGGTCCATTACTTTTCTCCCCTTCCATCGAAAGCTGAGGCTTGATGATTAATTCTTCTCGAAAACTTTCGTATTGCTTCTTGTTTTCATTAATGGTTTCGATCCATTTGGTTGCTTTATTAGGCAAATAGTTGAGTAAGAGCCTCCAGACAATACCTCGAAGAGACTTAACCTCCTCGGGAATTCCTCTGAAAGCAAGTACCTTCAAAGTTGTCATATCTATAGTGTCTCTGTTCAAGGCCTTCAGGAAGTAAAGGATCCTATCCTTTGACTTCTTAGGAATTTTTTCAGGTAATTTCTCAATCAAATGCGCTATAATTTCATTCTTTCACTTAATATCTTCAATTCCTGAAGAGTTTTTGACTAGATCTGGCTGAGGCACTGGCTCCATTTTGAAACTTAATAAAATTTTATATTTCAAAACTATTAGTACTCTGAGGGGTTTTGGGGTTTTGGGGTTTTGGGGG